TAGAATAAAGGGAGAAAAAAAAATCTCTTCGTTTCTGGCTTATGTATTATTGCACGCTGAAGGAAGGTCAAAAGGGAAATTTCTTTATAAGTGCCTAGAACATATGTAGTTTCAGAAAAAAAGTATTTTATCTTCTTTGGTGCTAATCAAAGGTGAAAAAGTCCTTTTGTATCTAATATAATGATTATAAGGCACTAGGGAATGAAGTTCTCCATTTTGGTCAACTGATCTTGATTCAGCACTCAAAATAGTAACCTCAGAATATTTTAGGAAGGTGATTGCAGTTTTAGGTTATTCACTTATTAATGGCATGAGATTCAATTGTTAACTTCAAGCAAACCTAAGCCAATTGTAATTATGAAGTCATAGTCTTGCCGCTGTTGACATGCAACTGGGGTATTAGAAGTCGTTCCATCTTTATCTGATGGTTATGGTCCTTGTGGATTGGAGGTTGGGTTAATCACTTTTTTTCCCCATAAGGTTTTAGCTAAGGGGAAAATGATGAAATGGCTATAAGCAGCAATATTTCTCCCAGTTAAATGCTTAATTTGACTGAAGTATATGGATACTTAGCATGAACAAAATTGATCTAAGGGAAGCTGCCCTTACTTGCTTTGACTAGGACTGATGGCTTTATGAAGTAACATCCACTGTAGAAACAGTAGGTTTTAACTGGAAAACTTACAATGGATCTTACTTTTGAAATTAGAGTTTGGCTGACTATTTTGACTAGGATCAATATCTTATCTTGATTTCTTGTTTTTCTTCATTCTAGTTTGTTTTTTATGCTTAACATTTCATGGATTTAACATTTATTGCTACTGAAATCTCATCATCATCATCATCATCCAAGCCTTACCCCAACTATATGGGGTTGCCTACATGAATCCTGTTTCACCATTCTGTTCTGTTTAATGTCATATCCATTGTTAAATTATTAGCACTTAAATCATTTCTTACTATTTTGACCCATGTCCTTTTTGGTCTACCCCTACCCCTTCTAGCTCCTTCAACTTGCAAGAAATCACTTCTTATTATGGGTGCTGTGAAAGGTCATGCACATGACCCACCAAATCTAAGTTCTTTTTATACCTTAAGTAAAACCATATTCGTTTTTTTAGTCAGATCATATTTTGAAAGCCTTCTTTTTCTCAACCATGGGAAAATGTGCATTCTATAAGATATTTTTAAGTTATTTCTGGTATAAGATCACTTGTTGAGCCTTCAATGTGCATCTGAAGGTTAACAATGTAGAGGAAACCTCAACCAAATTATGTTTTGAAGTAGGAGACCTATTTAGGGTTTTCTCAAGGGATGAATTTTTCGGGTGCTCTTTGGCATCCTAATAAGGACTACTTATGGATGAACCCTTTTGAAAATTCTTTGGGCAGATGGGTATGCTATCTTTTAATTGGTGGGACAGTTCAATTAAACTACCATATCCTATCCTATTCATTTATTCATTTTCTTTGTCCATTTTTTAAAGTGTTTGGTTGCATAATTGCATGTTATTTGGTAGTGAGACCTATAAAAGACTTAATTGGACGACTCTATGACTAGGAAATATGTGAAAGATTATTTTCAAGGCTATAAATCTTGGGGTTTGTTCTAGCAGCTTATGAGGAATGAATAGTCTTATTTGGACAAAGATAACATGGGAAATTAAATGTGTCTTCTAGTTAAATCTCAAGAGCAGTGACCACAATACCCAGAGTGAGAATTTTCCAGAAAGACTAGTTGTGTGTCTAGTGGTTTATCTACTGCTGGGTGTTAGTGGTATTACACAGGTCTAAAATACTTTGAAATGGTATGAACTGTGGATCAAGTTTCTATAGGGGTTTGGGTTTGGCATGTTTAAAGTGCATCAGGAAGTTATTGCCAATAGAAATTTGAAAGAGTAGGATCAACAATCAATCCTGTTTTTCATCAGTCAATAATCAATCCCTTTTTTTGTAACACAACTAGCTCTTAGTGTTTTTTATAATAAACATGAAATGCAATTCTTTTTTAATTGTTATGTTGCCCAATGATGGTCCTGGCTATTTGGGTTTTTGGAGGGATAGACTGAATAAAGACCTAAAATTTGACTTTTTTTTTCTCTCTTTTGTACACAAATTGGTTGCTCTCAGACTTGAACCCAAGCTCTCACACTTGTCACCCATGATTTCACCATTGCACCAAGCAATGGCTCCTAAACATATTTCTTTCTCTGAGCAAAAGGAAAACAGAAAAATAAAATGAAATGTAATTTTTTTTGGTGATGGAAGTAAACCAGAACTCCAGGAAAATTTGTGTTGATATGGTAATCTTCCAAGTGCCATGGAATTGAATGACTAGGAGAGACTACTCTTCAAAGCTGTCAAGTGTCAAATGAATTCTGTTAAGATCTACTTTAGATTTTGTTTTTGATATGTTAATCAATGATTTTGTATGATTGTATCAATCGGGATGCAGCTGTCCTTCTTAATAGATCAATCTAGTGATTGGTATTAGTTATATGGCAAGAATACATATTGGTCTTGCATTATTGACTCTGCATTTCCATCTTCCATTTGTGTTTCTATGTTGAGGTGACCACTGGAAGGTCTTGACCAAACCTCAGTCTTATTCTGAAAACTTTCTGCCTCTTATCGTGAAGGTTTAGATACTGTTACTGAAGAACTAATATTTATTAACAGGCAAATTAATTTAGTAGTAGAGGGGACAGAAGTTTGCCAGAATTTATTCTTTTTCCCCCTCAAAGCAAAAGATAAAATCAGAAATTACTATGAGAATGATTAGTCATGCATTTCTTACTTTTGATACATTTGTTCACTGGAAAGGTTTGGTGAGGAACCCCTAAATAGCACCTGCTAGCAAGTAGCAACTATCTTTCATGTATTGTGCATGGCATTGATTTACCAATTTAATATAATGAAAACTCAGGCCCCGTTAGGTTCGTGGGAATAGGGGTCTGGAATTGGAATTGGAATGGGCTATTCTGATTCCAACTGTTTGGTTGGATGGAATCAGAATTCCATTCCCATTCCTGCTGGAATGGCATTCCCCCATTTGAGGGAATGGCCATTCCCTGCCCCTCCCTTGGTAATGAAATCCCATTCCTGCTGATTTCAGTTCCCATTCCAAATCCTGTTTGAACCAAACAGACTAGGGGATTGGACCATTCCGATTTCGATTCTGGAAGATTTTGATTCCGATTCCAATTTCAACTGCAAACCAAATGGACCCTCAGAATCAGAACCGGAATCAAAATCGGAATAGTCCATTCCCATAGTCTGTTTGGTTCAGACAGGAATGGGAATGGAAATAAGAATCAGCAGGAGTGGGATTTCATTCCCAAGGGAGGGGCAGGGAATGACCATTCCATCAAATGGGGGATGCCATTCCAGTTGGAATTGGAATGGGATTCCGATTCTGCCCAACCAAACAGTTGGAATCGGAATAGCCCATTCCGATTCCAGACCCCTATTCCTGCAAACCAAATGGGACCTCAATAATGCCTCTGGAAGCTGATTCTGAACAAGGATTTCCATCATTCAATTTAGCCTCAAAATGTAAGATGCAAGATTTAGATCAAGGTATTTCAGATAATCAAAGGTAGAACAATTAGATAAATTAGGGTTGTATACATCACAGTAGCAAGTTGTCAATCACTAATCTGGCCAAATGACTTTGATGCTATAATGCTTCCTAGAAGTTGCAGCCACCTCAGTGTAATGGTAAAATTGCAGGCTTAGTGTGAGAATGTGGGTTTTAGTGTAAGAGCAGTCACTTTGTGCTGGAAAATAGGCCAAAGGTGAGGTCTATATCCAGTCCACTTCTCAAGACCCCAGATAGCAGGGACTAACATTGGGTTGTGACCTTTTTCAACCAAAATGACTTGTACCTTTGGATTATTAAGTATGTTTTATTTTTACCCTTGCATAGTTTTCTGTCAATCTGCTGGAGCAAACCGACTGCAATTTTGTCACTTGAGTTGTGTCTATCCAAATCTAACTTTCTTTTTACCAGTTTATCATCATGGAAACTCCCTGCTAGATTGGCAGTAAGATATTAGGATTCATGACTCCATGAGTTGATGCCTCTCCCCTTATTTTTGTAGGAGCTGCCCTGTTCCTATTTCTTAGTTTTAGTTGGTTTGAATGTTGTGTTTTTAGTAATCAGGCTATATCTTAGTTTGGAGCAACCATTGACCTTGGATCATGTAATCTCTCTCTTTGCAACTGAATAGCTCCCCCCAACCACCACCAGTAAAACAATAAACAGGGTGACAAGAACAAAGGAAGAAAATGAAGGAAAAAAGAGCAAGTGAAGCAAGAATGAAAACAAGTTGAAATGAATTAATTATTCTGACATTATTTCATCATGACATGCTTTGCAGATGTTGTCAATGAAAAATGGATTGGTTTTACATCCAATGTACCTGCCTGGAGTATTGCAGCCTATACCGCTGCCTCAGGTGCCAATCAACATAAATGAGGGAAGTACATCCAGAATGTCTAACCAACTAACTTCCTCTTACCAACCAATTGATTTGTCCACTATGGCCAATATCACTAATTCAGAAACCTCATTTGCAACAGAATCATCAATTCAAGCTTACCACGGACCACTTCTGCTCTCCACATCCTCCAAGGTAGGCTGAGTTTGACACCTCAGATACTGTTATATATATATATCAGAGAGAGAGAAAGAGAGAGAGAGAGAGAGAGAGGTTCATGGGAGTAAGGCCCACCATTTTGTTTGCATGTGAAGGAAATCTACAGGGAGAGTATATTGCCTCCGCAACAAATAAGTACAAGTCGTTCTGTGAAGAACCTATCAGGTGCGTCTTCTTAGCCAAAGAAGCCAAGAATGTTTGCATTCATTTCCCTAAGATAGAGAAGACATTATTTTGCTGGCCACTGTGCTAAATGGATTTCAAAATTCATTCCATTTAAACCATGCGAGCATAAATAACATAGTATATATTGGTCATTTTCATTGAGACGGTTCAAACACAAGTCAAATTGCTGCATTTCTGATGATGTCTAGGTATAATGATAATTCCACAAGGCTACTAATCAGATGATCTATCTTAAAACTATGATTCTTTTCACAATTCTGTAGCTACTTTTGCACTAAATTCAAAATGCAATCCATGACTGCAGCACATAGGCATTTTGATGCGCAAGGCTTGGGGAACAACTCTCAACTAGGGTGCATGTCACGGTCCGAAAGATCAGAAGATGTACTCTCTAAGGACGTAAACGATAACAAGATTTTCATTCAACGTCCACATGGGTAAGGGATTACTGTGAAACAGGTGTTACCTCGTATATGATAGCCATTCGGTCTTATATGTTTCCTTGTATGGATATACAGCACAGATACAAGAATTGTGTCAAATGACAAAGGCAATACAAAGATGCCCAACTACTGAAGTTGGTCACACCAGCCTTCAAGCATCTCATCGACTCTTGATTTGTTGTAGCTTAATTATGATTCTCCATGCTGATCAGGAACGCCTGAAGTACTTTGTATTCAAATACTTCAAAGTGGAGCGATGAGCAGAGATCCGGCGTTCAGTCTGTGGTGTTTGGCGCAAGTTTCCTTGTGGAAAGTTTGATGGAAAATGGTGATGTTTTTTTTATGTAAATTGATTATTCTTTGGGCGGGGTGATAAACTGATAACCCTCACCTATATTCTCTATGATTCTTAGAGGGAAACAAATTATACCTGGGAAGTTTAGAACTTTCTTGATGCTTATGGCATGGACAAAGATGGTGGCCTGAACCATTATGGACCAATTTTGGATCTGGGTAGATGGTCCTTGTATTTGTAGCTAGAACCAATTGGACTGACAGTCACGGCTTATATCAATTATATTTCTCTGATTTTTCCCATGGTTTAAAATACAGGGTTTAGAGTTAAAAATTCGATGCCATAATTCCAATTGCGATGAGTGGGCTGGGCCTCGTAAAATCTGGAAAGTGGAGCCTCCTAACTCCTAGGATCAAGGAATGTAATGTGGGCTGGGCCCGTTGTGCCAACCTGGGATCAGGGGAGAGCATAAAAGAAAACTGATGATCCCAAGGGGCAAGAAGGTCCAGATCTACAAACAGGGCTGAGTTGGTCCCTCAAATGTAGAGATGAGAGTAAGTACCCTGAATATCATCATAGAGATGAGCGTAAGCAACAAAGCTTCTTTAGGAGAAGGATGGACCCTGGAGACGTAATGGTGGGCATCATAACTAGCGATAAGTTAGAACTGCATAGATGTTGCAGAGATTTTAGCAGGACGAAATGAACCTAGCAATGAATCAATTGGGATCTGTCAAATCTGGATCAAGGTTGAGACTATAGTCGGGTATTATTTCAAAGGCAGTGCCTAGAATTTAACCCGTATGATCCGATAAGGTATCTACTGATCATGGTGTTGGTATCCAAATTAAGCTTTTCAGTGAAGTACCAACTGGAATGGAGTTTAGCAAATTCTAATAAGTGAAGGGGAGTTTCAATAATTAACCCTATTACCTTTTGAGTTTGAGGGATACCAAGATACAACTAGGAGAGGACTGAGGAGTCTGCTATTTTCCTCTTTTCTTTTAAATATTTTTTCTTTTTATTTCTTTTCCATCATTCCGGTCTTTTTCCTCATTCTCTTTACGACCAATTTAGAAAAAAGTAATGGGGTTTTGTATCGGGGTCTTTTTTTTCCATACCTTATTTTCTACGCCATAGGCCCAAAGCCTAGGTGCCTAGTTTGGGCTTGTAATCTATCTATCTATCTATTTATCTATATATATATATATAGTAATAAATTCCATGTCACCATACCTCTCCTTGCTCCAATTCCCCCTTTCTATCTGTTTTTTTTTTGAATTTTTATTTTTTTATTCCGCATAATTACCCACTAAGTCAATAAGAAAATCACATAAGCTTAACCAAGGTTTAAAATTTCGATACGATACACCCGATACAGGGTGTATCGTATTGTATCTTTGAAAAATATATACAGGATATGCATGGAAATCGGACGTTTCGTCTTTTTTCATGCTTATTAGACCTGTATTGGAGCGTATTGAGGGTGTATTGGGGGTGTATGCGGGGCATATCGGTAGCATATGGACAAAAAAGATACGGCCAAAAACTAAAAAAAAATTAAAGGGGGGAATTTAGTTTCTTTTGCCTAGAATAAGCTTTCTTTCACCCCTTAAATGACTCTAAAACTCCAAACTTCATTCCAAGAGTGTTAGATTTGCAAAAGTTTTTAAAAAACAAGTGTGAATCATTAATTCTTTTAAAGTTTTTTCGAATTTTGAAAAAATAGGTAAAATTTTTCAATTTTTTATAATATCTTGTGATTTCTTTAAATTTATTTTGATCTACATTTCTTGCCTTTAAAATCACTTTTTTTTTGTGTTATCAATAGATTTATGGAAATTTCATGAAGATATTTAGGGAAATATAAATTAACAAAAAATTTGAAAATGTAATTTTTTCTCTACCTATAAAGACTAAATATCTTTTAGATCTATGGATTTATCTATCATATCCATAGAGCAATTAAAATTTCTTCATTTTTTTTTGATTTTTTATATTTTTAGAATTAAAAAATAAATAATAATTAATTACATTTTATCATTTGATCACAACAATTGAATATATTATAATTCTATGGATGATCTATCATATCCACAAACCAATTGAAATTTCCTCTTTAATAATTTTTTTTTATTTATATATTTTTAGAATTAAAAAAAATAAATAATTAATTAAAATTTCTTCTTTAATAACTATTTTTGAATATGTTATATAATGTTTATTTATTTTTTATAATTTCTGAAAATGAATAGTAAATAATAATTATTTAAATAATAAATAATTATTAATTATATTTTCACATAGAAGTTGTGCCAATGCATGTTTTATGGTTGGATAGGAGAGTTGGGTTTTTCCCATCCCGTAAAACTTAAGAATTATAATTTATAAATTATAATTAAAGTATTTATAGTGTTTCCAAGCGTATCTATGCATATCTTAGTATTTCTCCCATATGCATGTGTACCCAAGGCGTATCCCGATACGTCTCTTAAAATTGCCTTTCTGATATACTTGGTGTTTTCAATACTTTGAACCTTGGGCTTAACTATTTCTAACAACCATAAGGAAAGAAGGATTTTCTTTTCTAATGTTTAGCCAGGTGGCACCACTTTCCCCCACTTTCTCCTAAATTGACTTTAATTCCTATTTATCTCCTAAATTGTCTCTAACTCCTATTTGTCTCTTAAATTATCTCTAATTTAGTAGAGAAATTCTCTCATAATTCCTAAACTATCTCTAATTCCAATTTATCCTCTCCCCCACTTTTTATCTATATCTATCTAAAAAAGTTTCAATTTAAAAATTTCAGAATTATTTAAATATTATAATAAAATTATATACTAAATTAAATATTTATTTAGAACACAAAAATTCATTATTATAGATTTAATAATATTCACATTATTGACAATTCTATTTTTACAAAATTTATCATGAAATTATGTAATAACAATATAAATTATAATTTTATGAATTATTCAATTTAAATGCTATTAAATAATAAAAATTTAACATTAAAAATAAAACATTATTTTCAATAACTAAATATCTTAAATAACAAAACATTAAAAATAGCTAAACAATTATATAACAAAATATTTAATATTACATAATAACATTAAAATAAATAAAATTCAAATTATGAAAAATTTAAAATATTTTACATATTATTTAAATATTTAAATAACGAAATATAACATGACTAAATCTTAAAGAGTTGGAAAATGAAATTATGTAATAAATTAAAAAAAATGTAGAAAAATAATTATAATAGATTTCATAATATTCATATTAATAATAGTTTATTATTTTACAAACTTAATGATGAATTATGTAATAATAGTACTAATTATAATTTTACTGATTATTAAATTCAATAAATATTTAAAATTTTAAATAAAAATATTATTTAAATAACTAAATAATATTGTAAATAACTAATTTCACTTATATCAATTAATAATTATAGAAAATAAATTTCAAAAAATAATATTTATTAGTAATGATTTTATAATAATAGTGTACATTCATTATATATTTATCTATATACATACAAAAATTAATATTTATTTTATTTTCAGTAATTATTTATTGTGTTTTTGATAAATATGTTTTCATTAGTTATTTATAAATCTATTTTTATTTTGTTATTTAACAATAAATTGTTAAAAATTATTGGATATTAAACAACTATTGTTTAAAATTTGGAATTTAATTTATCATTATTTATTGTATTTTTGTTATTTATTTTTAGTAATTATGTATTTTTTATAATTTATTAATTAATATTTATTAGAGATTAAACTATTTTTTGAGATTACACTATTTATTGACTAATTTAATATATTTCTAGTATTTATTGTATTTCTATTGTAAATTTATTTTTAATAGTTGTATTTTTTTGCTATAAATTTTCAATAATTATAAGAGATTAAAACATTGTTATTTGTTAGAGATTAGGCTATTAATTTAGCTGAAATTAGGAGTGTTCAAGGATTTGTTCAATTCAGTTGTAGGCTATTTTGCAAACCAAATTGACTTGGTTAGGTCAGGAGTTTGTCACTCGAAATGGTTGACCATTAGTGAAAACCTACCAACTCGGGTTGTATCAATTTGGGTCTATTTTTAGTTTGGTTTGATTATTCAAAGAATTTAAACTTAAAAATTAAATTTAAATTTAATAAATTACAATGATATTATTAAAAAAAATTAAATTCATGATATAAAATATTTTAGACTAAGAAATATGGGAATTTCCCACTTTTTTGTATTAAAAATTTATATTTAAAATATAAAATATTAATATATATCTATGGTCGAGTCAATTTAGTTTTGGTCGGTTTACTAATAGCCAAATTGAAACTGACCTAAGTTGGTCGAGTTGGAAAATTGCTAAACCAAAGCTGATTGAAAATACTAGAAAACTGACCAATTCGGGTCAAGTTTGATCGGATTGGTTATTAAAAAGTTAAAATATAAAACAATTATATACTCCTATGTATTTCTATTGTTTAACTTTCTCTTAACAAAATCCAAGCATCACACGGGTCCTCACTAGTATATATATATATATATATATATATATATATAAATAGATGCTGGAAAGATATGATATGGGAAGAGTTTTGACCAATCCAAACCCACCTATGAATTTTGATAAATAACACCTGATTCGCTACCACGTTTGTGATTCTCGTTAACTTTTCAAAAGTTTTTCAGATATCACATCTTTCCATACAAAAGTTGAACCCTAAAGATAATTAATTTTTATTATTATATGCTATTGGCTGAAAGTCTGGCCTGACTCAGTCTGGGCTTAGGCTATAGCCCTTATCAAGTTATCATAGGTGCTAAACCCAACCTAGTCTGGTCAGGGCTCTCTCCGGAGAAACTATCTAAAGAGGACAGTCCAAAAGGCTGCTCATGTAGGATCGGTCCACCTAGAAAAGCCAATCCACTGTAATTCAGCCCTTCCAAACGGTTAGGCACCATTTGGTTCGTGGGAATAGAGGTCTGGAATCAGACTGTCTTAATTCCTGCTGGAATGGCATTTAGGGGATGCCATTCCCTACCTCTCCCTTAAGAATGAAATCCCATACCTGTTAACTCCCATTCCTGTTTGAACCAAACAAACTATGGAAATGGACTATTCTAATTCCGATTTCAAAGGATTTTGATTCCAATTTCAACTGCGAACCAAACAAATCCTTAATAATGTCAAGAGAATGGATCAGGTTAGGATAAGCGAAACCCTTCTGCTACCCCATCCATGTAGATTGTTGTTTTCTCGAAAGTCAAAGATGCAGCACTGAGGAGGGGGAACGGGAGAACCGACTCCCATCATCCTTCGACCAACCTGTGTTTTCATTTGCAAGCTAGCATATCTCCTTCAGCCTCCTTTGTAGCCTTACTACCAATATTTACTACTTGTAGCTTGTCAAATCACAATAAATTGTATCTGGTCTATTAGCTTTGTCTTATGGTGGTGGCCAGCTGACTCAAATGTGGGCCGGCAATAACCCCTCAGCAAGAATCTATCTGTCCAAATAGTCATTCATACAAGAGCTCTTACTCATATTAATGCATTGATACAGTGCAGTCGCTTAAAACATTGAATCATATAGGACCGATTGCTTATCCTGAAATACTTCATTATTTAAATTCTAGCCTATAACAAATAGGTTTTTCCTATGTATTGCCAATTAATGGAGCCTATCTAACACTAGGGTCATTATCCAATATTTGTCCCAGTTGCTATCTAAATTCTTGGTTGATGTTCTATCTTTTGGCTGTTTTTTTTTTTTAATTTTATTTTATCATTGCACCAAACAATGGATGCTGGAACCCACCAAATGTACACATAACTTTCAACTTTGTTTGATTGATCAAATGAAGAACAATGTTTTAGTTTTAGAACGATGATCATTTATCAGCTGGCAGGAAATATAGCTAACCAACAGTCTCCTATACACCTTCTTTAAAGAGAATCTTGACAAAAATTACTGAAACTGAAAAACCGTCTATGATAATGAATTGCTAACCTCTGTGTTTGTTTGCAGTTGTGTTTCAGAGAAAAAACTAGTATTTTAAAGAAAAAAAAGGGTTGAGCAGTTCTTTAGAGGGTGTTTCCTTCTGTGGACGTTTCTGGAAAAATGTCAGGACCACTTAAGAATGGGTGTTTATTGGGCATGAAATCACTGTTTGGTTTTAATGTTCACTAAATAAACGTTGAAACACACAAATACTTGGATTGTTTATGCAAAGGAAACTTCAATGCTTACTTAGAGGAGTTAGTGCCAATGATCTGGAGCATCGCGGACCCATCTTGCCCCTATTTGATGTTTATCATTCTATCCCTGTTAGGACATCGGTTATGAGCTGTTGGATGTGATTTGCATGTAGAATTGACTATTGGATGTCAATTTCAGACATTAAATACATGTATGGGTACTCTAGTAGACCGTTAGGTGTGCATGATGGCGTTCCATTGCAACGTAGCTAAACAATGTCACATTGGATCAGTTATAGGGTATTGCTTGAAATGCCCCCAACCAAACAGCAAAAATTAAACAAATGTTTATTATGAGCTGAGGTGGCAGATGAAAAAAAAAAACAATAAATGTTTGAATTGATGTTTTTCAATAAATGTATTTATCGGAGAAACACCCATTTACTATCAATCAGACGCTTCCAACATGTCCCAACCTGTACTTGCTTTGGAGATTTCTTTTTTGTCTGAGTGGTGCTCAATATGATGCATTCGGTTTATTGATAAGATACCCCCATTACTAAGTAAAATTTACCAAAAATATCATTTTTGAGAATAAACAATAGTGATCGGATCTATGTTACATCCACATATCAGGAATATCTCTTATCATTGATGGGATGATGTTTTGATGTTTGGCTGTAATGTCTTATAGGTAATATAAAATAATAACAACACTTCGTCTAACATCAAGGCGTATATAATATCAGACAGGCAAGAGAAAGAAATAGAAAATGGTGGTAACAGGTTATCCTAGGTCTCTGTTATAAATATAAATACCCAGAAAACTTAGCAACTGAGCCACCATCAATTGCAACCATATTAAATAGGTGTATATCATAAACATTTGTATACAACTTGGAATAAAAAACGAAAAACAAGGCGACAAACAATCTCTACAACTGAACCACACCATCAATGTAATATGGTAAAGGGTTTTTATGTAAAACTCCCCCACTTTTCCAGGATTCTCTCAAACTTACCCTGACTTTTACATACCAGTTTCCATTAAAAGACAAATACTCTATCCTTTAAACCAATTTCATATAAGAAACAAACGAGAAGTTGAAGTGAACCATTGACTGTTGTGAGGTAAATGAAGAACCTAGAATAGGAGAAATTAAAGAAATTAACTAGGTGTATTTGTTTAATAAAGCTGAATGGTTGGTCAAGGTTAATTTCGTCATCGGATTAATATTAAATTATTAATGGTGCATGTGAACCACTTCTTTTATGGTCACTAACAATGACCTCAATGACCTAATAGAAGACAAGTATGTTATAAATAAAAATATTTGGCATGTGGGTCATTGAAAGTATTGAAATGTCCAGGAAAATTTAAGAGAATCCCAGAAAAATGAGGGGAAGTTTTAGATTACAAAAAAAAAAACCTATTGTAAAACATATATCAATCAATCAAATATGTATTTGTGATTGATATCATACATTTAAAAACTCCAAAATTAAATGTGTTTAATGTATTAAATACATAAAAATGTAAAATATAAGTAAATCTAATTAAAAGTTCCATTCTCAAAAAAATAAATAAATAAGTTTCTAAGGTTTCATTTGTTTGAGGTATAAATCCAAAAATACACTAGTGTAAATGAAAAATGGTCAAATCTATAAATACAAAAGTTGAACCGCTTCTGTGTTGTTTTTACACTAATGCACGTTTGGAAGAACAGTGTAAATATGAATGTATTTACTTGTTTGGAATTAACATGGATGTAAAACTACACCCATGTTTAAAAATGCAGCCGTTAATATGTATTCTCCTGTTCTGTCAATCCCACCACTCTACCCTATTTGCTTGTGCATCAAACTCTGTCGATTAAAGGGCACACCTCTCTGTTGATACCATAAGTTGGGGAGACCAGAGAGAGATCTCAAAAAATGGTCCTAAAATGCATTGCAGAAAATGAGACTATTAACATGTGGTAGAACATCATCGGCTCGGAGCTTTCAATCTTTCGATTGAAAATGTTGTCTTATAGAAACGTAAAACTAGAATCCACACCCAGGGCTAAACAAGTTGCAGAGAGATGAAGAAGATAAGCCAAATCTTAGATCTAAGAACCAGAATAAAAGAACAAGTTGCAGACCTAAACACTAGATAATAAATCGTAGATCTAAGAAAATAGAGTAGAAAAACAAATTCTATATCTGTTTTTGGGTTGTTTCCAGATCTGAAATGAGTTGACAACAATCCCTCCAGATCTGAATGACAATGTTTAGATCTGTACCTTCTGTTCGTTGCAAGATGGAGACGATGGAATGCCTGAGTGTGTCCTCTGTTCTAAGATGAGTTTGAACCTGTGAGAGAAAGAGAATACACTGTGAGAAAATAAGAGAAAGAGCAAGAGAGAGGGAGGAAATGGAAGAGAAAGGGGTGACCAGACGGTGGTGGAAGGTGCTAGTCGACAGTGCTCGGCTGTGATAGAGAGAGGATCAAATAGTGGTGGAGGGTGCTACTCGGCAGTTTACAACTGTGTGAGAGAGAGAGAGAGAGAGAGGATCAGAAGAAAAGACGAAGAGCCGTTGTGTTTTTACATCATTATTGTTTCGATCAAATTTTACATCTAAAATATTGATATATAAAATACATCGATAATCGAAATAAATAAATTTCGAAATTGGTTTTTACACCAATCTTCGATGTATTTTTACACTCCATCCAAACACAGCCTAAAATTTGAATCCCATAACTTTCCCATGTGAATAATTAACAGAGATGGAGATCCAAATTCACGGCCAACATTAGTAATATTCTAAAACCTTTTCTTGAGTCTTGACATAAACGCATTAGAATCTGTCTTTTAATTATCACATTAGGCTAATTCATTTAACCATAGGTTAGTTCATGGAAGCACCATGGTATATGCATTAAAATACGCACGTATACAGCCTTAATTCTTGCAAAAAAAAAAACACTGCATATCAACTGTAACAGTTGTCTCGTGTATCAATTCTACCTCAGAGAGTCAGAGACGGTATTGTTAGGGCGAGTGATCTGTGTTTAATCAGTTGCTTGTTTTTACTCGGAAAAGAATGGCTGGACTCAAAGTTGTCATGCGCTTCATGGCCATTATTTCTCTGTCTATTAGAGTATCAAAAAGATAAATATGATCCCATGACTGGATATACGGTTTTCTTGTTACCCCACAAAAAGAAAAAAAAATCAAATATTCAGTAAAGAAAAAATATAAAAAGATATATAAACATTTTCCTATAAGAAAAAAAATAAATAAATGAAACGACCAAAGTAACTCTCTATTTTGTCAGGATTGCAAGATTAATTAATTGTGATTAATGACATTCATTGAAATGGAGATTGAGCTTTTAAGCAATCCAGCTTATTGTGTTGTTGTCGACATTCTCCATATCACCACATGGACTGGGTTTGGGCCGCCACACATCCAAGTGGTAGGGCTGAACTTTGCTTTGTCTGAAACGGCAACTCGGCAGCAGCCCTACCTCAAAGTCTCAACTCAACTCTCAAACAAATTAATTAATTAGATTTAAATTTATTTTTGGCAATTTTAGTGATGCAGTGGCAATGTCGTAAATGTCAGAGAAGAGAGGGTTTATTTAGAGAGGTATTTCCTCAGCCGGGGCCCGCGTTAAGAAATCTTTGGGGCAGGCTGGACTGCTGGCCGTTTTTGTTTCCACGCTAAAAATGGCATCGTCTGATGATTGTATTCTGGGCTGTTTCTACTTTCTACTTTGTTGCAGGCGAATCATCTTTCTTTACACCTAACATTGCCACCTTTGTTAAACGCGTCCGTCACCTCCTCGCCTATAACCCTATTCTGTTTCTTCTTCTTCTTCTTCTTCTTCTTCTTCTTCTTCTTCTTCTTCTTCTTCTTCTTCTTCTTCTTCTTCTGTAATCTTGATCACCATGTCTGAAGAGAGAGGCGATACCAACTTCTGGGAAAACTCGTGGGCTTTCGCAAATTCTGATAACTCGGGTGGCAGCGAAGAAAAGTCAGGAAATAAACCACCACAATGTTCCAACTCGCAAAGCCCCACTGCTACGATGACAGTCCCCATGGGAAGTCAAAAACGAGGTCGTAACGGGGCTTCGAAAAATGGGAAAGGTAGTGCTGGTGAACCCGACCATGAGATACATATATGGACGGAGAGAGAGCGGAGGAAAAAGATGAGGAACATGTTCTCTAATCTTCATGCTTTGCTTCCCCATCTCCCTGCTAAGGTAAAAAACAATTGTTACAATCAATTCTGAGGACAAGATATATCTTCCCACTCCCTCTCTCTCTCTCTCTTTCTCCCATTAATCCCCCGTTATCCAGATAAAAGTTTCATTTTTGAAAGGCATCTTCCTTTTCTCTTTTTTAGATCAGTGTCATTATCAGAGAAAAAACCTATCTTTCCTTCATGGGTAAGTGGTAATCCAACGAGTGATAATGGGTTAACCTTTTTTTTTTATCCCTAGTTTAGTTTATTCATTAGTTTTTTTATTGACTGGTTGCCTGGTTACCAGAAAAGATTTCTTTTTATTTGCTTCTACCCACGAGCAGAAGCCGTTGAACGTTGATGAACCCATTTCATAACAAGTTATAAATGATCAGAAGTTTCGTGGTCGAATTTGTAATGCTATGCAGGTCCGGAGAACCACCATTTCTGGCCGATCGATCCCTAGCATGTAAACCCTTCGCTAGCTAGTTCACTATTCATGTTTGGTTTAACACAAACTGGACTTGGGTCTTGGGACCCAGATCTAATTAAGGTACCCAAAAGAGTTAAGAAAGTACTTATGTATCAAAAAAAAAAAGTTAGAAAGTAGTGAAAAGGCAAGAGTTTTTTCTCTTTCTTCTCATGCACGGCTTATATAAAGGGAATATTTGCAACAGATTTTCTTTTTGAACAGAAAACAGTGGTAGTTCTCCCACAGAAATTATATATAGACAGGGATGAGGGACACCTATAACCGGGTTTAGAATGGGAATTGAATTGAGTGAGACAAATATTCTGCACTTATCTGCTATTTACTGTAATGCATGCATTCATGGCTTTAATTCCATATCTTGGTTGACATTTTATATGAATCGTAACTGTATTAATATTTGCTTACGTTTCATTTCTCTGATTCTCTCCTTCACTAACAATTAAATAATAATATTAATGTACAGGCCGACAAGTCCACAATTGTTGACGAAGCAGTGAATTACATCAAAACCCTTCAACAATCTCTCCAAAAGTTACAGAAACAAAGGCTAGAAATGATACAAGGAGCGACAATTGTGGACTTTGGATCATCACCAAATGTGGCGCCACCGGCACTGACTCTCGACTCGAGGGAGTCATTCCTTGCTGACCATGGATCAGCCAGCGGCTTGGCCAAGGCCACTACCTCTACGCATTCGTCGTTGCTGGTACCTCGCTCTCCTTCATGCTTTCAAACATGGTCTTCGCCAAACGTTGTTTTGAGTGTATATGGAGATGAGGCGCAAATCAGTCTGTGCTCGCCAAGGAAGCCCGGGCTATTGCCAACTATCTTCTACGTTCTGGAGAAGCATAAGTTGGAGGTCATAACTGCTCATATTTCTTCAGATTATTATCGGACCATGTGTATGATCCATGTTCAAGTAAGTCATAGAATACCCTCGATCACTCCAACTAGTAGTACTCTCTCTTTAGCATTGTTACTGTCTTTCTGTTTTGTTTTGTTTTTTTCTTTTTTTCTTCTTACTGAAACAACTAATACTATTTAATTTGTTGAGAATAACCTTGGTACACATTCAATAGGGCTGCAAGTCGGGCTGGGTTAGGTTGGGTTGACGCTAGTCCAATCCTAAGTTTTAAACCCCAACCCTAACCCTAACTAAATTCCTTCAACCCTTACCCAATCTAACTCGAAGTTAATTTCGGGTTGAGTTGGGTTCAGGTTGGGCCCAACCCAACCTTCTTCCCATCTTTTAAAATCTCATAGAATTTCTCAATGTGAAGTCAGATTCACGAATTTCAACCCTAACCCTAACCCTAACATCAACCTGACCCAATCTAATTCAACTTTTTCGGGTTGGGTTCACAGCCTTAACATTCAACCTTAATTATTCAAGGTCTCAGGCTAATTCTCTGTATACGTTGAACTGGAAAAAATTATGAAACTATTTGGTCATTCAGTTTTACACATTGAATTGAATATAACAACTAATTAATAAACATAATGTTTTGGTCCTGTTTTGGGATAATTTCTTTGTAAATACTTTAATCAAAGAAGGTGTCTGTATGCAATTAACTGCTTCCTGATTTCTTGAGGACTTGCCCAAAAAGGAAGTGAATCTTCAGCAAGACCACCGTTTGATTGTTTTGCATTTGATTCCCCACCCAAATCAGGTATTTCATTTTGTCCTTTAATAAATGGTACATTAAAATCCACTATGATTTCATTTTAATAGTATTATAATTAATTATTCTCTTAAAATTTTTCTTACAGCTTTTCTGCTAAATTAAATAGTACATTAATTCCTCGTCTTTATAGCATTCATATTTCCCACATCATTTAGAATTTTATAATTAATTAATTTCAGAAAAAAAAACAACAATATTTGATTTTGTTTTCTCTTGCAAAAGCAGCAAAATTGAAAAGAAGGAGATAAAGTGAGAGGATGCTGATGAATAAAACAGGTTTTAAGGCCCTGTATATGGAAGCCAGACCAAAGATAGTAGTTAATCACATAAAAAATTAATAACTTTTCTGTCGACATAGCTTGATTAACTATTGGACTACGACGATATGGTATCAACTTTTCCATCCTATGAATGACTTGGAATAGAGAATTTGAGGGGAGGCTTAAGAAAACTTGATTAAGAAAAATATAGAATTTATTTATGAAAATAAATTTAGGGAATTGCAAGAGAAATAAAATTATACTATGAAAACAAACAATTATATTGACCTAGTAACAAAAGACTAAGGCCCGTTTGTCTGGGGAGGGGGGGAAGTTGGTCAATGGAAAAGTTCTCATGTTGCTTTACTAATGAAGAGTGGAACTTATGGAAATAAAATTTTCCCTTGATAAGTTTTTGGCAATCTATCTGAAAACATTTACCTACCTAAGAGATGGGTAAATTATTTATCCATGGAAGAGGAAAATTGGCCAACTGTGTAAGAATAAAATGTTGTATTATAATGAAAAAAGTTAGGGATCTTTTAGAAAATTCATTCACTGTACTTATCCGAATAACATCTTCCCAAATAATACTTATTCGGACTTTTGTATTATAAAAATGTAGTTTGTTACCACTAAAATTTCTTAAAAATTTAGAGTGTGTATATATAAACATAATAAATCGACAATTTTTATCTTAGGATTCTCTTCACTTATGGCACATTGAACTTATCCTTGCTTTTATTGGTGTGAAGTCATCCCATTCTTGAGTAAACAGTTTTAATGCTAATGTTTATGATTTTATTGCTCTCCAACGAACATGATTATGATTTTTATTTGTTCCACAACTTATTCAATTAATGCTTCTTTATTACAATATATATTGGTATGGTAATTTTATTTAATATACCAAACTACTTGCAGTTGTAGTTGAAAATAAATATAAAGTCGAATTGCTACTAATTTACTACCAACTACTATTACCATTTTTGGGTTTTAACCAAGCGAATCCCCTAATTCTTAATGCTCAGTTTAGAAAGAGTATAAATGCAAATATGTACATCGCAAATACATACAAAATAATATAAAGTATAAGGTTTTGCGCTCTACATATTTGCATTTGTACTCCTTCCAAACTCAGCCTAAGTTGCATTAGTGTCTTAATCTATCACTTGTCCTTATTTAATATGCATGATTCTATTTATTTAGCCTTTAGACCCCATTCGCTTTTCGGTAAGTTACTTATATTATCTGGGTAAGTTTTTCCTGGAAAACACATACCCAACTTAGTGTATTTACCCATGTTCTTTTATTTTCCAAGCAAAAAAGGAAATGACCATTTTAACCATAAAAATTCATTATTAAAAGGTGAATTTTTGTCCCATTCAAGTGTTGGAAACTTTTCCCCCGTGGAAAAGTTATTTACCCACCTAGGAAATGGGTATCACTTACCCCTCAAGAAAATAAGCTTTCCCTAGTCCCCACATTAATTTGAAAAGAGAACATGGGATTCTTTGTCAATGGGAATCAACTTTCCCCCCTCTCAAAATCCAGAAAAAGAACACCTCCTTAATTAATTCTCAATTTGTAAATAATGTTATATTCAATCACATTAAATATCGATTTCAAAAACATAAATATGACACTAGATGCCCAATAATATTGTGTAACTAAAATTATTATTATTATTATTTAATTTCTTAAATTAATTATTTTACTAAAATACTAAAAATTTACTATGTTTTCTGATGTTCGAAATGAAATAGTTAATTCAAGATCTAAAATCCAACAAATCATTTTTTAAAGGTTAGGTTGGGAGGCATCTTCAACCACTCAGCTTCTGAAAAGATATTGGAAGGGCAAATCTCTTGTGTCAGCATGTCTCTTGTTACAGGATTGATATGAAGAAAAAATTTGGAAAAATAAACATTTTGGTCAAAAGTAAATGAATAGGTATTTTGGATACTTTTGTGTCAGCATGTCTCTTGTTAGAGGATTTTAATCAAGGTTTTTAAAATCAAACCAGTCAGGGGTCCAATTTCCAGGTCGAACGGTCTAATCGTTAGAATCGAATGGACGGTCCATTCTGACAAAAAATAAAAATAAAAATGGCCAAAACCATTGGACGTTTGAATGATTTGACCACCTGGGTCAACAGTTTTATGACCAAATCAATGGTTTTTGGTGAAATAATGGCTGTGGGGTAAAACGGATCGATTCCCAAATTTCCGGTCTGACCATCCGGTCCAATCTGATTTTGAAAACCATGATTCTAATAATGGAGTCTACTTGCAACCGTGTCAAAAAATTGAAAAGAGGTGATTGTAATTACCAAACTTCATTAAGAGAGGTTTCAGCAACAGTCAAAAACTTCAGTGGAGGTTTTAGCAATTTACCCAATTAAAGGACTGTGCTTGTTTAGCTTCAGTGTTCACATATCTCACTTAACAGTTTAAGCCACTGCTATGAATATATGAATAAAAAATGGTATGCTAAAACTTTTGTTTTTTGGCTCCAGTATGAATAAAAGCTGAGTCGTGGTCTAAGCAAAGAATTGTTGTTATAAACTCTATATGGTTACCATTATATGTTTATAAATTTACATGGGCTATTGAACAGGCAAACGGGACTGCCGATCAATTCCCAGAGGTATTGCCGATGGAGGAAATATACAAGCTTGCAGTCGGAGAGATGATATTCTGGCTCTCTGCCTCATGAACAATAAGTTATAAGTGAACAAAAGATGGATCTTTCTTTGCTTTTATTTTCCGAAAATGAAAATTAAATGTAGAAGGAACCATGAATGAAGTGATCGAAACAGGAGAGATATACTAGCGCTACTTTTGTAGATGGGCTAGATGTTCTGCTATTTTCCAAAGAAATGAGTATGCGTATATCTCTTCATGGTCTGGGTAGCTTGCTATCTTGGCTGCAATAGAGGACAGTAGCAACATGACATACTTAATTATATTTGCTTATCAGCTGTTAATGGAGAAAGAATTTATTTTTTAAGCAGCTGCAATGTTTAATAGTTTAGTCTCTACTTTCTACTGAAATTGGGCTCTAGGAGGTGAACTGAAATGTATATACATAGCATCTGAGTATTGAGTAGTGACATGTATCTTAGTTCCCATTTACAGTTTCTTATTTATTGATTTGCATTAATGTCTCAGTAGAAGCAATTGAAAAGCGTTAATTTGAAATTAAATATTTTCTTGCAGCAAATGGAAATGATTAGGGAAGCATCAAATTCAGGTGCAGAGATTCTGTTTTTATTGTGAACCATACATTCTGCTTCCTTCTTTTTATCCTTTCTAATCTAATCCAGAGGACCTGTTAGATTATTTCTAATCTGTCAGCTGCATCTTCTGCCTACGTCTGGCAATTGCATGGATTCAGGAAGCGTACAGCCTCAGCTAGCCCTTGAACTCCAGATGCTGAAACAGCGCAATGAATAATTAATTAGACAATATTCAAGCCTCATATGTGGACCAATCAGATCATGATACGCCAAATCAGCCTCATACGTGGGACCCACGTTCGTGTGGAACTGACGTGTGGTGCATACTGCATAGTTATTGGCCCAGCATTAATAAATAGTAATACTAATAGAACCATATATGAACGATTCCAACTGGTTATATCCATTGACCATTGCTTTAAAACAACTATCATCTAACTGCGCGCAATTTAGAGATGTTCAATAATGAAGATTATTGCAAGGTCGATCTTCTCGATGATGAATTGCATGGTTGGAACCCACCGAAAATCTAAACTTATGGTTCTGGTTAGACCAACGCCTACATATTTTCAACTTATTGTCACTTCTATTACTACAGATGAGTTCATAAATATGCTAACTATCACTGAAATCGAAGATATATATTTTGGTTGTGATCGATGCAAATTTCAACCAGTGAAAATAACAGGGACTTCTCGGATATTCAATGGGTTGGGAGTTGGGACCCAATTTAAAGTTTTAGCGTTCCAGGCTGCCAGTAATACCAGCACGTACCTGCAGCTCATTCATCTACCTCTTCCTAGTTATTACTGAAAAAAAAAATAATAATTATTAGTACTACATATATTGAGTATTAACATATTAAATAAAGCTCCAAACTCTGCTCCACTTTGCTAAATCAGCAACAACCCCTTTAATCCAAAGTGTTTCCAATTTCCATAGCCAGGGCTGAATGACAAAAACAATGTCTGTTAGTCTGTACATAGTAAAGAAGCTGAATTTTGAGGGACAGTCATCAAGGGAATTGAATGGATGGAATATTAATACTATTGACATGTCAGAGATGATGAAGAGATGCATATATAGGTTGGTGGGGTTTATAATTGATAATGGCCGACCGGGGCTTGGGCCAGCCTATTGTCTCTTATGCTCTATTTTAAGCCCATCTCAGCAATGTACCATGACAGGTTGGTGTTGATGTTCCCTAATCTCCATTAGATACAAGTTCTTCGATGCTTGTAGTAAAGCAATTTGCTGTAACAGGAAATGTGGTTAGATGCCTAGTTTAGGAAGGGTAAGTAAATTCTAAATGGTATTAATTATTGATGTACACACACATTTTTAATTGATATATACTAGTGAGAGTTCTATATGGATTTTAGAGAGAAATCCTTGATTGGTTTGGTGCATGCAGCACTGACCCAATTAAGGCCATATATGTATGAATTAATTAGGTCGATATATAATATGAAAGCTCCCGTTATATATGTTGTTTACCTACAATATAAAAATAATTAGTAGCACCAAAACGGGATTAAAATAAATGCAAAATTAGAATTATAGAAAGATGCATAAATCCGAAGAGGAACAGGATTAAAAATGTAACCAAACTTCTAGCATACCAATGGAGCAATTTAAACCAAAAAGCTTATTCCAAGTATAATTTTGGGAAAGAAGAAATTGAGCTAAAGATGGAGTAGATGTTGGTTGATGATGGTGCGTGATGATGGTGCGTGATCAGGAAGTTCCTAGTTGGAAGGTTATCCAGATGTTGTCCGTTTAGCGAGTTAGTTCAAACTGCAAGAAAGTGGATCAGAGAACCTGGGGTGGCTAACCCGGCGAGGTTGCTCCGATGCTTAAGTTAGTATTGTGTTCTGATAGCGAGCTGAAAGCTTGAATGCAAGTAAGCTAGTGAGCAAATAATCGCGAGTACCTAGGTCAAAGGGGTTGGTGCCCTTATATAGCTGGGCTGCTGTGAGCCTCACGAAACCTCTCTGAGATCCCCGGGCCGACCAGTAGGAGTCTGTTCCGCTCCAGAATGTGGATAGCGTGCTAGCCGGTAAGCCTCATCGTGTCCACCCGAATTGGGCGGGATGAGGATAAGACTGACGGTCGCGTGGCATGATTCCGAAGGGCTTGAAGACAGCTGGCGAGCTTCTAGAATCAGTTACATGTCACCTTGACAAATACGGACATCCGAGAAACCCTACCCTCGGAGCAATCCAAAGTGATTGGGACACCCGAGGTGACTGATCTGCTGAGGTGGTCAGAAGCCCGTGCTGAGTCATCATCTGGCTAGAAAGTCGCGTTCACGTATCCTCTGTTCATCAGGTCGGGCCAAATCACCCCTCATCAATTGCCCCCCACTCCTCGTGCAAGGGTCACGACCCGGTGCGAGGAGTGCATGACGAGTTGAGGTGGATTTGGCCTTGGCCGATCTGGCAGTTTGACCTCAATAACCCACCCAGCTCGACCAGGAAGCCAGATTGTGTATCAGGAATGTGCGGATGTCACGCTGATTATTTAACCCTGCAGACGTCAAAATACGCACTCAACTGATTTCAGCCTCGGGAGGAGTGCAGCCGGTTTTCCTGGGAGTCATCGGATTATGTTGATCTTGCCCATCCAAAATTGACTCCAATGGCTATAAATAGGTGCTTTGGGGTCCCCATTTTCTTTGTCGTGATTTGTGCATTCGTGGTCTAAGCTCGCGTGTCTGCTTCCAGGTCGGTGTCACCTGTCCTTGTCTTTGAAGTCATCTCCTCCTCTCTCCAGTCTAGGTAAGTGTCCTTTGTTCCTAACTTCTTTTCCTTCAATTACGGTGTCGAGTATTAGCACTAGTAGTTTACTAGATGCTAGTAGCGAGTCAACCGGGACCGAGGTGGACTCCTCAGGCCAAAAGGTAGAGTCTGGTCCTACCGAGGTGGGCACCTCGGCATATGGCTCTGAGCCTAGTCCATCCAAGGTGGACTCCCAATCACAGGAGTGGAAGGACTCTAGAAAGGATGCCTCGATCTCCTATAGTTCTTGGAGGTTGGGGCCATACTGCTTCGGTCCTTCCGTAATGACTGCGGAGAGACTCCAAACATTAGTAGGGCACTATAAATTTCCTAAGGACCATGGTTGGAGTATCCCCTTAGAAGGGCATCCCTGGGATCACGATCCCGACGAAGTTGTAGTGTTCGAAGAGTAGCTGACAGTTGGACAGTGCTTCCCACTTCACCCATTCATTGTAGAGATCCTCAAGCTTTTTAATATCACCATAGGCCAGTTCCACCCGAACTCAATTCGCTCTATAGTAGGCACCATTTCCCTGTTTAATCACTTCAGCAGACCTTTGACTATGGATACTTTTAGATCGATTTGTTCTATCAAGAAAAACTCTACCAGTCTTCCTTCTTCTGAACATCATAGTTACTACCTAAACCCCCATCTTGGATACAAGATCTTGTACGGTTTTCCCAACAAAGTCCCAGCCTGGAAGAGGCACTATTTCATTATTACTATAGCTGGGGGGTGGCCATTTCCGATGCACTAGAGAACGACCATCAATGACACCGACATTAAGCTAGATAAGGACATGAAGAAACAGATCCGCGCTTGGGCGAAGCTCAAGTTGGAGTTGGACATCTTCCTGGCCGAGGAAAAGTTAGTTAATGCAGGGCTGAGTCCAAGTAGGTCTCCACTTCGGTTTCACACACTTAGATCTTTCCCACCATCTTCTCTACTATGTCGGTGTCTATGTTACAGGTACCATGGTGGATATCCCTATCTCCAAACTTTTCTCCGACATGAAGAAGAGGAAGAAGAGGAAGGCATCTTGTGTCGAACCCCCAGCCGTTGAGCCCGCCACTACTCCCACCGTCCCTATTGCCCTAAAAAGAAAGGAAGACGCCCCTGACCAGGAAGCTAGCTCGCGAACCCGAGGTGGCCTAAGAGTCCGAGCCCATCCCTTCTAACCTGAGGTCACCGCTTCCAATGCAATTCCCGAGGAGGGCCATAGCATATTTGATACCCGGGTAACCACTCTCAAAAGCAAGGAAGTTGTTTTTCTTGCCTAGGTTTCTAAGTATGTCGAGATGCCATGCTCCAAGCTCGCTTCCATGGCATGGGGTCGTCTAATGGTGGTAAGTTTCTGAGTTCACTTCTCTGTCCTTTGTGTTTTTCCTGCCTTGCTGATTGGCGCAATTCTCTTGTAGACAAACTCGATGATTCACTCGTTGGTGGAGCAGTCTGACCATCAGATGGAGCTGTTACAAATCTCAGAGTCGAAGGCCAAGGTTCTAGTTCCTGAATCTAAAGCGATGGAGTGCCAGGCCAAAACATTAAAGGCCGTAGAGCTGGCGAAGAAGCGGGAGGTTGAGGCAAAGTGGAAGGATGAACGCATTTGCGAACTGGTGAAGGAGGTCGAAGAGAAAAAGGCTCTCCTTGCTGATCGCGAGGCTATCTTCTCCCAAGAGCAAAAGGAGGTCGGCACTCGTGCTGTTCAGACTTATAAAACATCTTCGGAGTTTGACAACTTCATGAACAAGACAGCCACCTCGGCATTCCGCAAGGGCTTCAAAGTCTGTTGCTGGCTGGCAAGGCGTGCATTTCCTTAGCTTGGTCTTCAACCACTCACAACCATTGGGATTTCTACAGAGACTGTAATCCAAGAAGCGAGCGAAGATCCAGATTCTGAGGAGGATGGGAACGATGATGTTGGTTTGGAAGTCGGGGAACTCTGACGTAGCAATTGACGAGGTCATAGAGACCGTTGAGGTTGTTGCTATGAGCACATCCATGGAGGTGGACCCAACAAAAGATCCCAAACTCATTGAAGAAGGGGGTGAAGAGCCCCATCAAGATTGACTTTTGCCTCTTTTCTTGGACCTCTTGTACATATGTAATACCCCGAGCCTCTGAGCTTGGTTAGCTATTTGTAACTTTCCTTTTTGTGTTTTTTGTGTTTTTTTTTAAATGTACTAAAATTGCTTATTGAATGAATTGAATCTTTTTGTTCCTCTCGTGCAAAAATCTTAAGTAAGAATAGTTCGATGTCAATGTACGCCGAAGTGAGCAGACACTATAGGGTATGTGCTCGACCTGTCTGCACACGAACTACTTCTCACCTGCCCCCGAAGAGGCGACTGGGTCTTATATTGCCCATGCTGAAGCGACTAGGTCTTAGTTTGCATAGAGGTCATCAGCTCAGCATCGTGGCCCTTAGGCTCTAGGAGAGACTCATAGTCCACTCTCTAATGTGTAACATGGCTAGCTCAGTGACCATCTAGACTTAGTTAATTTGGGCGGATGTCTAACTCTCGAGCTCACAGGTAGTACTTATTCAGGCTATCAACATTCCATGCTCGGAGTACATGCATCCCTTCCATCATCTCTAGCTCATGCGTGCCTCTTCTGAACACACGTCTCACCCTATACGGACCCTTCCAATTCGGGCTGAGCTTACCTATGCCTTGCTCAGGTACCATCACCTTACGGAGCACCAGGTTGCCAACTCGGAGCTGTCGTCTCTTGACCTGGGCATTATAGTACCAAGCTACCCGCTGCTAGTAGGCCACAGTCCGAATATAGGACAGGTCACGTGCTTCTTCGATCAGGTCAGGTTAGTTCAGAGCTCATCGTCGTTTGCGTCCTTGTCGTACGCGTTAAGCCTCAAAGTCGGTACTTCGATCTCAGCAGGGATTACAGCCTCTGTTCCGTATGTCAAGTTGAAAGGCATTTCCCCTGTTGCAGTCTTGATGGTTGTTTGGTAGACCCAAAGGACACTAGGCAGCTCGTCCATCGACAACCCCTTAGCTCGTGCCAAGCGAGCTTTTAGTCCGTGGAGGATTGCCCTATCCGTTCTCTTCAGGGTGTGCAACTGAAGTGAAATTCTATTGGATCCCATTCTCGGCGCACCAGTTTTGGAACTTGATGTCTTCGAACTACATTCCGTTGTCCAACATCAACACCTTGGGTAGTCCGAAGTAGCACACTATGTTCTTCCAGAAGAAGTTATGCACGTTTTGTGTTGTAATTGTTACCAGCGGCTTAACCTCCATCCACTTCGTAAAGTAGTCAACCGCCACGACCAAGAATTTCCTCTGCCCAGTTGTCAGAAGAAATGGTCCTATGATGTCTATCCCCCATTGCGCAAAAGGCCACGGGCTGGTCAGGTACTTCAGATCGACAGTAGGTTAATGAAGGATGTTGGCATGCCTTTGACAGTTGTCACATTTCTTGATGAATTCGAGTGCATCTGCCTTCATAGTGGGCCAGTAGTACCCTTGTCTTAGTGCCTTTTGGGCTAGCGCCCTGCCCCCCAAGTGTCCTTCATGGATTTCGTGAAGTACCCGATCTGCTTTAGAAGGTTGCAGGCAACATAGGTAGGGGAGCATGAAGGACCTCCTATACAGCTGCCCGTCGATAACAATGTATCGAGTTGACTGATGCTCTACCCTCTGGGCTGCATTGCGTTCTGCTAGTAGGGTCCCGTGGAGCAGATAATCGATGAGCGGATCAATCCAACTCGGTTCCGCTTGCAACACAGGAACGACCTCTTCTGCCTCCTCGAGAATGTTGGGTCGAGGCAAGTCTTCAATGTACACCATTCACATCATGTTGTCACTGGTGCTTGCCAACCGCAATAGGGCGTCGACCTCAGCGTTCTCGGATCTTGGTATTTGTCAGATGAACCAAGAGAGGAAGGTTGGCAAGAGCTCTCTTACTTTACCTAGATAGGCTTCCATAGTCGGGTCTTGAGCTTCGTAGTCACCATTGACCTGGTTCACCACCAACTAGGAATCGTCGCACACTAGATAATCGACGAGCGGATCAATTCAGCTTGGTTCCGCTTGCAACATGGGAGCGACCTCTTCTGCCACCCCCCCCCCCCCTGAGAATGCTGGCCCAAAGGAGGTCCTCTATGTACACCGTTCACATCGTATTGTCACTGGTGCTTGCCAACCGCGACAGGGCATCGGTCTCAGCATTCTCGGATCTCGGCAAGAGCTCTCTTACTTAAGTTAGATAAGCTACCATAGTCGGGTCTCGAGCTTTGTAGTCACCATTGACCTTGTTCACCACCAACTGGGAATCGTTCTACACTACTAGGTGTTTCGCGCCAATTTCCATTGCTAGGTTTAGTCCGGCTATGAGTTCTTCGTAAACTACCTCGTTGTTCAATGCCTCGAATCTGAACCAGAGAGCATACTCTAGCTTCACCTCATTCGACTCGTACATTATTAGTCCAGCACTGCTTCCTCGCTGATTAGACGAGCCGTCTACATGGAGGATCCAGGGCTCCTCGTCCCAGGTCGGTCCAACTCTGATCGGGACCAGTGCCGCGCTAGTTGACGCCTCCAACGTGCTAGCAGGCTCAATCAGTTCAGAGGTTGGCGCGCTAAACGTACATTCTGCCACAAAATCTGCCAAGACTTGGGATTTGATCGTGGGATGTGGTTCGAACTGGATGTCGTACTCGCTTAGCTCGATGGTCCACTTCCTCAATCTACCAGACACCTCGGGCTTCAGTAGAACGTGCTTCAAAGGCTTGTTGGTGAGGACAATAATCGTGTGGGCTTGGATGTATGGGCGTAGTTTTTGAGCTACTACTACCAGCATGTATGCTAGCATCTCAATGTCAGGGTATCTAGTCTCTATAGCCTACAAGACTTTACTTACATAGTAGACAGACCGTTGGACCTGGTTTACTTCTCTTATCAGTACCGAGCTGACCACCTTGTCACTCACAGAGAGGTACAACTTTAGCTCGTCACCTTCCTCAGGTCGGGTCAAAACCAGTGGTGTACTTAAGTATTTTTTCAGCTCGTCCAACGATAGCTGGCACTCTTCAGTCCACACAAAGTCATCATTCTTCTTTATTGCCTCAAAGAAAGGTAGGCATCGACTCGCCGATTTTGACATAAACCGGTTTAGGGCGGCTACTCGGCCAGTTAGCCTTTGAACTTCTTTTATCTTTTAGGGCAGTCTCATATCTAACATGGCCTTTATTTTATCCAGGTTAGCCTCGATGCCACGTCGGTTTACTATGTAGCCGAGGAACTTGCCCGACATGACCCCAAAGACACTTGTTCGGGTTGAGCTTCATGTTAAATTTTCTTAGTATTTGAAAAACACAATTTAGATTGTCAATTAAAGAGTTTGAAAACTGGGTCTTCACGACCATGTCATCAACATAGCACTCTACTTTATTTCCAATCAGAGGTTCAAAAACTTTATTTACAAGTTGTTGGAAAGTTGCTCCAGTGTTTTTCAATCCGAAGGGCATCACTTTACAGCAGTACAGTCCTAGTTTGGTTATAAAAGTAGTCTTGTCTTGGTCAGCTACGTCCATCCTAATTTGGTTGTAGCTGGAGTAGGCGTCCATGAAGCTCAACAACTCGTTCCCCAAGGTCACGTCTACCAGGCGGTCTATTCTAGGGTGTGGGAAGCAGTCCTTCAGGAAGGCTCTGTTGAGGTTGGTGTAGTTGACGCACATGCGCCACTTTTCGTTGGCCTTCTTCACCAGCACGGGGTTGGCCTCCCAGCTCGGGTAATGGAACCCCTTAACGAAGTCTACTGCGAGGAGGTTCCCAACCTCCTCGTCAACTACCCTCCAATGCTCTGGGGCGAGGTTTCTTTTTCTTTGTCTAACTAGAATGACTGAGGGGTCCACATTAAGTTTATGAGTAATTATACTAGGGTCAATACCGGGCATCTCTGTCGCGGACCGAGCAAAAACATCAAAGTTACTGAGTAGAAAACTTACTAGCTACGATCGAAGAGGTTCGCCTAGTAGAGCACCGGTCTAGAGGATCTTCGTGGCTCAGCTTCGGAGACCGATACATGGATTGTTTCCTCCATAGGGGCAGGTCTCTCCTCTATGTGCTCGAGTAGAGACTCTAGTTCGACATCCTCTACAAACTTTGCCTTGCCTTTCAATGTTTCCACGTAGCACTTGCGCAATTCCAGCTGGTCATCTCATACTACCCCACTCCGCAGCTCATTGGGAATTTAATCAATAGATAATAGGTGGACACTACTGTTCGCAGGGCATGTAGAATGGGCCAACCTATAATTGCATTCTAGGGGGACAAAGTTGTGACCACTAGGAATGTGTGCTCGAAGCGCATTGAATTAGGCCATGTTCCTGTTGCGACTAGTACTGTCACTCAGTCGAGGGGCCTAAATACATCACCATTGAATCCTACCAGGGGTGATATTGTCGGTTTCATGTCACTTCACTGTAACTGCAACTTGTCGAAGGCTTCTAGGAATATGATGTCCGCCGAACTCCCTGAATCTACCAGGACCCGCTTCACCTCAAAGCTATTGATCACAAGCTTGATGACGAGGGCATCATCACGCGGATACTGTATCCCACGCGCATCGTCCTCGATGAAGTACATGGGCTCTTTTACACGAGGTCGTTTCGGTGGGTTCTCTTCTTCATGCTCTAGTTCCTGGATTGTGTTTTTTCTTGCTATTGTAGTGCACCCTGCAACAATTATTGACCCACCAGTGATCATGTTAATCACCCCGCGGATCGGTCTGTTCTCAAGTGGTCGTGGTTGCCAAGGTGGCTAGTTGTTCCTTTTGCTCGTCTCTGGAGCTTCTCTCCTTTGGTCGGCTTGGTGGTCTGCCAACTCCCTGCCTTCATCTTGGATATACTTCTTCAAGTATCCACGGTGGATTAGCTCTTCAATCTTGTCGCGGAGGTTCTGGCAGTTCTCAGCACTGTGCCCGATGTCGTGATGGAAGTGGTAATAGACATTCGGGTTTTCGGTTGTCGGATCTCCCCGCAGCCTAGGTGGCCACTTGACATAAGAAGAATCCTTGATCTTCATCAGAACCTCACCTCGCTTTGTACTGTATGTTAGACAGTGTATGCCCTTAGCTCTAATCAGATTGATGTACATTATGACATTTATTGTAAATGAATAAAGTACATATTTGATTCATGTTATAGTAGTGTGTTTTTGTGTAATACCCTTAAACTGGACACTTATGAGACTTGTGTTAGTTTAGAATGTTCACAGCCGTTGGATAAGTCTGGGGAGATTTATCCTGCTAAGGCTGACACTGATGTGCCGCCAAGTGTTGGGGTGG